TTTGAGAATGATGTACAAATGCGCTTTACACAATTGATGTGTGTATAGATTGCGATAACAGTTGTATGAGCCCCTAATAAAATGTTTTTAAAAAAATTCTAAAACAAACAAACAAACAAATATTTGTGACAGTTAAAAACAATTCTGGCTGTAAATGCCCATTTGCTAGCTACTTAAATTTGTTACTATAAATGATACTGCAATTAACATCATGTCTGAAAAAATAAACCCAAATAATTTGTACCATAAAAAAGTGTTCTTTTTGATGATAATATGACATTGTTCCTCTTGCATTGGTTATTCCTGGCATAGTAAACTATAGGATTGTCTGATTTTAAATGGCTATTATCAGTCTATTTCTGTTTATCAATTCCGTTTAGTCAGCCTGAAATTCTGATCTTTATGCATTTCATTTTTTATAAATTCCAATTTTCCTACATTCGTACTTTCTGCATTACATGTTCTGATATGAATGAGTGTTTGGTGTTTTTTCTTTTCATTTTGTACTATGCCCTTTCAGCAAAAAACTCACCACCATCAATTCCATTCTGACTCATAACGATGCTATAGTTCAGACCAGAACTGTCCTGCTGGCTTTCCAAGACTGTCACTGTTGATGAGTCTAGAAAGCCCCATTCTCTCTCACAGAGCCGCTGGTGGTTTCAAACTGCCGACCTTGTGGTTTGCAGCATAATGCATAACACACTGCACCACCAGGGCTCTTCCCTTCAGCAAGGAAGCTTTGTGAGTATTCCATACACAACATTGTGGTAGACTCTATTTTGAGGAGGCAGCTCTTTTCTAGTCCTATTTTGAGTGCCTTCCAACTTGAGGGGCTCATCTGCCAGCACTGTGTGACAGGTTGCTCTGCTACCCATGAGGTTTTCCACGGATACATTTTCAGAAATGGATTGCCTCTTCCTTAGTTTATCTGTTCTGTGTCTGGAAGCTCCGCTGAAACATTTGCACAGTGGGTGAACCTGCTGGCATTTGAAATATTAGTTACATCATTTCCAGTGTCACAGTAACCTGCAAGCCGCTACTGTATGGTAAACTGACAAATGAGTGGAGTAGAATGTGGCCATTGTCACCAAATTACTCCCATAAAGAAGTGGTAGTAATTTACCTTCATACCAGCCACATGAAAGAGGCTGATTTCCCCACATCTTCACTCAAACAGTGTGTTGTCCAACTTTCTGAACTCTGCCAATCTGGCTAGTACACATGCCATCTCCCCCTCATCTCCGTGTGCATTTCCGAAGCTTTGAGAACAGCTGGAACACCTTCCTCGTTGTCCCTGACGAGGGCTGATTGCAGAGCCCATGTGCTACAGGAGAAGCAGAACTTACCCACCGGGGGGCTGCTGGGAGCAACCTGCAGAGCAGAGGGTTGGGCATGGGCGGTGAGCCATGATATGAGCTATCTCCACCATTGGCCATCACACCTGCCTGCCAGCTTCCCAAGAGAACTGGTTAATCAGAAAGGCTCTCCGAGGGCTTCGAAGGTCACTTAAGTTCAGTTCTCTCTATTGTCCATTCCCACACCGGGATCAAGTGGCCCACAGGGTCAAGCGATGGGTTACTAACTCTGAACACCCCGAGGTGTCTTGGAAGGAAGGTCCAGTGATCTGGTTCGGGCAGGCCACAGCCACAGACC